TCGGGCTGAATATAGTGGATCCATCGGCCTGCCCCGTTTTAGCCCGCCAAAATATGGGCAATGACGGGCCGAGGCGGGTTGACCTGTCAGGCCCAAATTTTATTTTTTAAAAATAAAAAATAATTAAATATTAATAAAATATTAATTTTTATTTTATAAAAATATTTTTTATTATTTATTGTAACTTTTTTTTGGTTAATTTTTAGTGGGCTACCCCATTAATTCAATGGCCTACTAATTTTTTTTTTATTTTTTTAAAATCTTGATGGGCTAGCCCGTTAGCCTACCAGCCCACTCTTAAACGGGTCAGACTAGTAAAACTGACCTATTTTTTAAACAGAGCAGGTTCGAGCTAGACTGATTTTAGGTGGACTTTTGGGGGGACGCGGTAGGTTGGCCCATCTTGACATGCCTAAGTTAAAGGTATAAGTACCAACCATAACTGACCCAAATACTTACAAAGTTAAACGTGATTTTAGAATCATCTTAAGGGTTGCTTGTTGGGAGCTCAAAGATGGTAAAACGTGCATCCATTCTAATGTGTCCACAAATGCTTGGTACTTTGTCTAGGATTCCCACCAAGTTGTTTCTTACAATATTTGTAAATTGCTTTCTATGCATCATTTATATTCTCCCTCTTAATGTTAATCCAGCTTTGTTAGAACTAACTGAACCTTCATTCTCTTCAAGCTCCAAGTCAATTAAAGGAGGATGATATTGAGATGTTTGTTGATGGTCACCAGTTGCACTCCCACTTACTATAGTTTTAAGTTGGTTGCTTCCTATCAGTGTAGATGTGGGTGTAGACGTAGATGATTGACATCCTTAATTGCCTTCACTTCATTAAAACAAATAAATAAATATTAGCATAACACAGAACACAAATGAGTCAAGCAATTTACCCTACCGAATTTTCTAATAGGCTCAATCCACTCAACCAAAAAGAAAGCACATATAATTAAAAAGACTAATTTATCCCGCATAATCCAATCAGAGAAAGTAATTTAACCTCTTAATAGAGTGTATTTCCACTAGGAGAAAATGATAATATTAGTCTCTATCAAAAAAGCTTTTCAATTTATTAATTTCTTTTTCATTGTCCTCTATAATGATAATATCATCTGCATAGATAATGAATAAAGTTCTCTTTCCATTTACAAACATAGTATGATCAATTTAACATTGGATGAAGTCATGATTCTTCATTACACGGGTTAATCATCAAACCATACTCTTGGAGGTTGCTTAAAACTATAGAGAGACTTTCTTAGTTTGCATACCTTGTGATTCTCTGGGATTTCTAATCCATGAAGGATCCTCATGTAGACTTGTTTTCAAGTTTACCATTTAGAAATACTTTTTTGATATCTAGATAGTGAATGGGCTAATCTAAATTAGTTGTTACAGACATGACGATGCAAATAGAGTTCATTATTGCAACTAGGGCAAACATCTCTTCATAATCTATTTTATAGGATTGTGTGAACTCTTCGGTCACCAACATAGCTTTGTAACAATTCATGATGTTGTTTATGTTGTATTTGATTGAAAAGAATCCACTTCTAACCTACTAGTTTCTTTTCTTTTAGCAGATTTTGTGATTTCCCATATTTCATTTTTCTCTAGTGCAATTATTTCTTTTTCCACAATAGCCTTCCACTTTGGTTGTTGAGGAGCTTTTTCTAGATCATGTGACACCTTTATGTTGTCCAAATTAGTGACAAAAGCCATATATTCCTATGACAAATTCTCATAAGACATATAGTTGTCAATAGGGTGCTGAGTGTAAGACCTTTTCCTTTTTTTTTTTAAAGAAATATGCTTATCAAGATCATAAAAAATTAAACACTCATTTATTGGATTAGGAGGTATGTTACTTGTGTGAGATTTACTTGTATTTGTATCAAAGTTATACAAGTTTCTAAATCCTTTTGAGTGTTTCTTTTCCTTGAGTACACTTGTAGTTCTTTTCCATCTCCTAGTGGTTTGGGTAATTCACCTCCATCTTGGATCTCTTCTTGCAAGGGAATTTCTGGTTCTGTAGTAGATAGAGATGCTAGTTCAATAATGATATAATCTAAAATCTGCTCAAGTCTAAAGGTTAGGATTCTTGGTCTACTATCTTCCCTGGAATGTCACATCCATACTTGTGTAGAACTTTTGTACAATGGGTGAATAGCAACAGTATCTTTTCTAGTTAGGGGAGTAACCAATATAAATATATTATATTGAATTTAGGTCAAGTTTGTTGGGGTTGAGTTGGTGGGTATGGACAAATATGGTACAACTAAATATTTTAGGAGGTAAATGGGTGAAGAGATATGGGTTAAGGCACTGGTGTTAGAGAGTTTAGAGAGGAGTTTTATACTTAAGGGTTTTGGAAGACATTCAATTAGTTAAATAAGTTATGAAAATGACACCTTCTCTCCAAAAATTTGGGACATTTGTTGCTATCATAAAAGACCTAGTGACTTATAAGAGGTGTTTGTTTTTATGTTCTACAGTCCTATTTTGTTGGGGTTGTATCAAAATATGATGATCGATGGATGATTCCATACTTATAGAGATAAGATCCCAACATAGTATTGTAGTATTTCCAACCATTGAGTTCTTAGAATTTGCAACTTAGTTTGGAACTGTGTTTAAACTATTTGATAAAAGGATTCAAATATTTTTATAACCTCTAACTTGTCTTTCATGAGGAAGACCTAAGTGATCCTTATGCGGTCATCTATAAAAGTTACAAACCACCTAGCTTGTGTAAACTTTTAACATGAGAAAGTCACCAAACATCACTATGAAGAAGTGCAAACGATTTTAAAGGCTTGTAGGATTAAAGATGGTAACTACTACTTGCATGTTTGGCTAATTGAGGAATTTCACATTGAATATTGATGAATCCACATTTTATTGGATTTTTACTTGTCTTTTTAGTGTTCTTTAATTGAAAAAATAGACTTAGGGAGTGTAAATAACATGAAACATTATTTTGGTCAAATATCATAGGTTTCTTAATTTTTGGCTAATTTACATTGATTTACATAGATATAACATGTTTAATGCACATTTTCAACCAAAGTCATCAGAGACAACCTAGGCTTGCACCTTAGACTACATATATTTTTTTGCATATTTTGATGAGAATTCGTGACAAATCTCTTTTCATCAAATTGGCGCCATTGCTGAAAACTTTGGTGTTAATTTGGCATTGAACTTGTTAATTACTCTGTTTTAGTGTTCTGCTTTTAATTTTTCTACATTTTGTTCTATTTCTGCTGCATAATTCTGCAGAATTCTATAGAATTTATGACTGTGTGCTACATTTTTCTTGCAATAATTTACAGTTTCTTTTTGTTTCTCGTTGCTTAGTGTTATTGTTTTATTTTACTGCACTTAGACATTAGTTTTCTGCATAATTGTTATCAGTATTTTCCTGCATTTTTGTTATTTCATTTAGTTTACTTCTTTTTACTACTCATAGTTAATTTCTAGTGCATGACTAGAACAAATCCTGGAGACTTGTATCCACTTGATCCAAAGATTGATAGGACATTTTATAGTAATATTAGAACACATAGGCATAATTCTGAACATTTTGAGGAACCTTCATCTCTTTCATCTATCTACTTATCACCACATTCTTTAAATTTTGAATTGAACTAAATGGATGACAATGAAAGAACATTAAAGGAACTGGCTACACCTTATGTAACTTATTAAACTTTATGCATACAGTATCCTGACATTGATGCACCCTTTGTTCTTAAGACAGGACTAATACACTTGTTGCCTAGATTCCATGGCCTTGCAGGTGAAGATCCACACAAGCACCTCAAGGAATTCCACATAGTTTGTTCGACCATAAGGCCACAAGGTGTACCTGAAGAGCATGTTAAATTGAAAGCCTTCACATTCTCTCTCATAGATGCAGCCAAGGATTGACTTTACTATCTTCCTCCTGGATCTATTACCAGTTGGGAAAACTTGAAGCAGCTTTTTCTGGAGAAATTTTTCCCAGCATCAAGAGCTGCATCTATAAGGAAGGAAATTTGTGGGATAAGGCAGCTTGAAAGGGAAACCCTCTATGAATATTAGGAAAGATTTAAGAGGTTTTGTGCCAGTTTCCCTCACCATTAAATCAGTGATCAATTGTTGATCCAATACTTTTATGATCCCATGGATAGGAAACATGATAGATGCTGCAAGTGGAGGAGTGTTGGTAGACAAGACTCCGGTTGCAGCTCGCAACTTGATTGAGAACATGGCTACCAACTCCCAACAATTTACAACAAGGAAAAACTCTTGTGTTACCAGAAGTGTAAAAGAAGTACAAGTTGCTAAACTCAGTAAGCTGGAACACAAGCTTGATGAATTAGCATCCCTGGTAAAGCAATTGCCTTCCATGTAGAAGAGTGCAGCTGCATCTTCACCTCCTCCAGCATCTATTCCAGTCATGTTATGTGGCATTTGTTTAGCTACAGACCATTACACTGATAAATGCCCTACATTGCAAGAGTTTGACACTCTAGAAGGTAATCCTTAGGCTTATGCTACACATATTTATACTAATAAATTTCCCTTTCAAAATTTGCAACAACAGCCCAATTAGGATCTATCTTCCAATAGATATAACCCAGGCTAAAGGAACCATCTAAATTTGAGATGGGGGAACAACTCTCAACAGCAAAACCAACAGCAAGGCAACTAATATCAAGGACAGCATGCCGGCCCAAATAGGTCCCATCAATCCCAACATCAACCACAAAAAGCCCAATAACATCACCAACCATCTTCCTCACAACTAAGTACATCCCAGAAAAATGAGTCATCATTGGAAGAGCTCATGAAACAATTGACCATAAACAAGTAGGACAGCTAGCCTCCTCTTTGAACCAGATGCAATTTCAAGGCTTAGGGAACCTCTTTGCACAAACTATTGTAAATCCTAAAAATATGAGTGCAATCACCCTAATATCTGGAAAGTAATGCAAGAGCCCACAATGCCCAAGGAGAAAGAAGACTCAAGTTGTACTCCATCTACAGTTGGTCAAAATAGAGAGGAAAAGACTCAAGAACAACTAGAATCCATACCTACCCAAACCAAGGGAGCAAAAAATGTTGAAAGAGCAATTTCTCTACCGTTTCCTCAGAGTCATCCAACCAAGTAAGAAAATTGAAGAGACTGAGAAAGAGATTTTAGAAACCTTCAAGAAGGTAAAGGTGAACATACCTCTACTAGATGCAATCAAGAAAATACCCAAGTACGCCAAGTTTTTGAAAGATTTGTGTACTTACAGGAGGCGTCTTAAGGGTAATGAAAAGGTAAACATGGGTAGAAATGTTTCTGTACTTTTTGAGAAACAAAAGTCCATGATGCTTGAGAAATGTAAGGATCTAGGAACATTCACCATTCTATGCATCATTGGTAATAATAGGATTAAGAATGGCATGTTAGATTTAGGAGCATCCATAAATATCATGTCATTGTCCATTTTTACTTCACTATCTCTTGGCCCTCTGCAACCTACAGGTGTGGTTATCCAGTTAGCCAACAGGAGCATAACAAACCTAGCTTGGATTGTTGAAGATGTGCTAGTCAAAGTAAATGATCTTATCTTTCTAGCCGATTTCTACATCTTGGATATGCAAGAGGGAGAGTCAATGAAGAGTGTTGCACCAATTACCTTGGGAAGACCATTCTTGAAGACTACAAGAACAAAAATTGATGTGCACGCTAGGACACTCACCATAGAGTTTGGGGACAACATTGTGTGCTTCAATATATTGGACGCTATGAAGCATCCATCTGAAGAACATTCTACCTTCCAAATTGATTTGTTTGATGATTTGATAGATGAACAATTTTATGCGTTTTTAGAAGAGGAATTCTCTCTTAATTTTTTGAATATATAGACAGTCTTATTTATGAATATTGTAATAATTCCTCTATGTGTGACACTTGTATTTTTGACTTTTTAAATGTGAATTTGGCAAATTTTGATATTGAAGAGATTGAAAAATTAGTAGGGGTAGAATGTGATTTATTGAGTTCAGGAAGTATTGTTAAATCTAACCCCTTTGATTTAAATGCTGCAGAAATTTTTTCTACTGAGAGTGTCAAATCACTTTCCTTTGTGGAGCAATCTCCCATACTAGAGTTCAAATCCTTGTCATAACATCTGAAGTATGCCTACCTAGAGGCAAATGAAAAGCTCCTAGTGAGAATCTCCACCAACCTGAATATTAATCAAGTGGAGAAACTCCTTGAAGTGATAAATAGGCACAAGAAAGCTATAGGTTGGACCCTCACTGATATTCCTGAAATCAGCCCCTCTCTATGCATGCACATAATATACTATTCGAATGGGATGCTAAGCCAATGAGGCAGCCTCAAAGGAGGGTAAATCCTATCATTTTGGACATGGTAAAGAAGGAGGTCACCAAGTTACTATAAACTGGGATCATCTACCCTATCTCAGACAGCACTTGGGTCTGTGGTGAGGAATGAGAAAGATGAATTAATACCCACCAGAGTTCAAAACAGTTGGAGAGTCTATATAGACTACCGGAGACTAAACCAAGCAACCCAGAAGGATCATTTTCCATTGTCCTTCATTGACCAGATGCTGGAGAGGTTGGTTGGTAAGTCTTATTACTGTTTCCTTGATAATTTTTCTGGTTATTTTCAAATTTGCAAAGCACTTGAAGACAAGGAGAAAACCACTTTTACATGTCTTTCTAGCATTTTTGCCTATAGGAGAATGCCTTTTGACTCGTGTAATGCTTTGGGAACATTTCAAAGATGTATATTAAGCATTTTTTCTGACTTAGTGGAGCATTGTATATAAGTCTTTATGGATGATTTCACTGTGTATGATCCACCTTTTTTTGTATGCTTAGTTAACTTAGAGAAAGTTTTGAAAAGATGCATTAACACTAATCTTGTGCTAAATTTTGAAAAATGCCATTTCATGGTAATGTAGTGTTAGGTCATATCATATTTGAAAAAGACATTAAGGTAGATCCTGCAAAATTAGATGTTATTGCACAATTGCCTTACTCCTCTTGTGTCCAAGAAGTTCGTGCTTTCCTTGGTCATGCAGGGTTCTACAGGAGATTCATCAAAAACTTATCCAAAATTGTCATTCCCCTTCCAATCTTTTGCAAAAAGAGGCTGAGTTCAATTTTGATGAAAAGTGCAAAGAAGCATTTAATTTGCTTAAGGAAACCCTGACCACCACACCCATCATCCAACCTCCAGATTGGACCAAGCCATTTGAATTGATGTATGATGCATCTAATTTTGCAGTAGAAGCTGCCTTGACACAACAGGTTGGTAAGTTTCCTCGCATCATTTATTATGCTTCTAGAACCTTGATCCAGTACAATGTAATTACACCACAACTGAAAAACAATTGTTGGCCATAGTCTTTGTATTAGACAAGTTTAGGTCATATCTTTTAGGGTCAAAAGTTGTGGTTTTTATTTATCATTTTGCCTTCAAGTATTTGCTGAAAAAGACAAATTTTAAGCCAAGGTTGATAAGATGAATGCTCTTATTTCAAGAGTTTGATTTAGAGATCAAGGATAGAAGTAGAACTCAAAATCTAATAGCAAACCACCTGAGTAGAATAGAGGGAGCTCTTGACCTATTCCAATTTTGGATGATTCTCCTGATGAGCAACTCTTAGAGTTGTATGCTTCACAGGCACCCTGATATGCTGACATTGTTAACTTTCTTGTTGCAAGGGCCTTTCCAGCAGATGCACCAAAAGCTAAAAAGGAAAAGATAAGAAGTGATGCCAAACATTATGTTTGGGATGACCCCTATTTATGGAAATTTTGCAGTGATCAAGTCATCAGAAGATACATACCTGATGAGGAGATTCCATCCATACTACAATTCTATCATACCTTAGCTGTAGAAGGTCATTAAGGACCCTAAAGGACAAAAAGGAAAGTGTTAGATGCAGACTTGTACTGGATCTCAATTTTCAAAGACTCGTGGGAAATTAGATTGCCTCACACCATTGCATAACCTCTGTCTCAATGGTTATACACCCCTACTTGTGGCTTACATTTCCACACCAATTGCATGTGTTATGCCTGGATATCCTTTATTATAATGTTCATGTTAGCTGCACAACCCCAATTTTCCACTACACATATGCACATTTCCATTTAATTTCTACAAATTGGAAGTAATTATCCTTGCTGTCAGTAATGACTATTTTGAGACTGTACTGCCTATAATTTGAGTGATCTTTCTTGAAATTGCAATGGCATACATAGTGGGTTGTTACACTAAATTTCGGATCCTGTCTTTATCACCCCAATTATCTGCATTCCCTACACCTAATTCATTTTGTTATTGCATCACTGTTTGTGTCAATTTTCATGCCTTAATGCTATCATGTCTGATACTCCATTACAGCACACATTTTACAACCATGGTCAATACACCAAGAAAGAATCCTCCAAGATGCAAGAGAGCCAAGACAGCTAGTGCATCCTCATCCAGACCTCCCCCTGCACATGAACCTAGATTCTGGTTATTAGAACATGAAAACTACTTTAAGACCAACATTCTGAGGAGGCAATTGGTGCAGGACAGGAATTTCAAAATTCAAGAAGGCACCTACCCTCAATTCCATGAGGAAATTAAAAAAAAAGGCTGGGACCTCTTCACCACTTGTGCTAGCAATGGGTGGAAAGAAATCACCTAGGAATTCTATGCAAACTCCATGAGGGTAAAAGGCGATACTTTTCCCCCTAGACACATCATAGTGAGGGAAAAATAGATCAATTTCACCCCCTCCAACATCCAAAGAATTCGGAACATCCCAGCTGTGTAGAAACAAGCTGGATAGCTAAACTTTTCTACATTCAGCATCTTAGAGGACAAGGATTATAAGCCTATCCTTCAAACCATCTGCAAGGAGGGTGAAAACTGGGAGTTTAACACTAAAATGTAACCCAAAAACCTGACAATAAGACACCTGATCCCTACAACCAAAGTCTGGAATGCTTTTATCCTTAGCTCTTTCATGCCGATCATGCATTCCTCTACATTGGCAGTGAAGCGGGCAAAGCTAATATATGTCATCCTCATAGGCATGCTCATCCATGTTGGTGAGGTGATCAACAGTGCTATTATAGAGATTCTGAGCAGGAGTAGGGACTCCCTTAGTTTTCTTTCAATCATTACTATGTTGTGCCAAGATGTTAGGGTCGATTTTGGAGACTACCAGCAGAAGGTTAGAGCAGACCCTCCAATATCCACAACTATGGTGAAAGAACTGTTTAAACCTAAGAAGACTGTTGACCCAGGAATGTCACTGCCAGCTAAATATAGGAAGGGCACCCCACTGAAGATGAGAGAGCAGATGAGACAGATTGCCTTGAGGCAGGATGCATACATGCTAGTCAGAAGGCTCTAATGACTCTGATGGACACTATGTTGTTGAACATAGGAAAGAAATTGAGGATGACTTCTGTACAACTTTATGATGCCCCCACCTTCAATACTCCCTACCTTCGAGCAGCGATCAGAGTGATCTTCCACTTTTTACTCCCATTGCCCCAGAAAGAGCTGATGCAGAGCAAAGCAGCTCTAGCTCCTCAGAAGAAGAGGAGGAAGCAGCAGCAGAGGAGGATGTTGACAATGATGATGACTCTTTATCCTCCAGCTCAAATGAAGATGCTATTTAGTTTTAGTTTCTTTTCATGCCATCTACCTTTCATTTACTTTCTTCTATTTCCCTGTACATATTATTAGCTACAATTTCCATGTAATTATCGTACATTCTCGCTTTTATCTTTATTACTTTACTTTCATATCTGATCTCTATGCTAAATTCTGTGTATATTTGTGCAGAAAATTCTCTCCGTCTTATCAAGAGGAGCATGAATTTGACCCCTAAGTTGTGAATCTACCTTCTATGAAAAGTGGGGTGATCTATTTGCCTCTATTCCATGAGTGTTTAGTCTAAATTCCTTGCATAGTTATAGACAAAAACATACAAAAATATATTTCCCCTTTGTTCTTTTGTTTTTAATTTAGTCCAGTTTTGTAGTTTCAATTTTATATTCTGATTACACTTCCCATTCAACTCACAATCATTCTCTGTTTTGTACATATTTACCATTTCTACCATACTAAACATATTTTCTTGTAAGGTGAATTGTACTCATATGTTGCTCAATAATTATTACCTTTTACCATGGTAGAGAATTAGGCCTTAAATTTCTTTTGTGTGTACTTTACATGTATTTTTGCATCTATCCTCTAGAACTTGCCCTGTTTCTTCATTGAATATGCATTGTGCAATTTTTCATCTAGATGATTGAGGCCTTCTTTGAACACACCCACCTACCCTAGAATACCCTTGCACCTAATCTTCTTTGTCTCAACTTTACCCTTTTTGCCAAACTTAGTCTACAAAAATAATTTTATTACCTTAAGAGAGGTATTTCTTTCGAGTTACATCAAGAGTGAATGTAAAAAACTAAGTTTGGGGTACCGATTATCATTGTAGTTGCTTGAGGACAAGCAAGATCTTAAGTTTAGGATGGTGAGCATCATACATGTCAATATTACATGTAAAAAAAAATACTTGAATTTGAAGAAAAGAATGATTGCCAAAGTCCAATAAGTCAGAAAAATGATGATGAACGAAAGAAAAAGAAAAATAAAGCAAGTTATTTTTGATAGAAAAAGAACTCCTACATAAGGCAAAATAATGAAAAATATGGTGAAAGAGTGCTTAAATCCCATTTGCTGCATCATTTAATGCATTCTACTCTAAGTTGTTGTATTCACTCACTCAAAAGAAATTCCTTTTCTTGAAATACCCACTTAAGCTTTTGTCCCTCTTTGATCAAAATTGAACCTAACCTAACTCTATTTGTGA